TAGACCCATTTAGTTTTAATATAGAGAAAATGTGTTAAATTTCTTTAAACCACCATTATGTCCAACACTTAGTTAACTTGCAATAAAATGCTTGGTATAACTTCTCATCATTTGCAGATCTACTTAGGGGTTCCTCTTGTTCTTCTTCCCTTTTATGTTAGGGTTCCCCAGGCCTCGGCTCTTGCTCAGACTGCTTCTTTAAACCCCATCAGAGGTCAGAACATTAGAATGTGCTAGGACAGTGTTCGGCAAACTGCAGCTCGCAAGCCACATGTGACTCACCAGCAGTGGTTTGCCGCTCTGTTGCCTAGCGAGTTTGCCAACCACTGACCTAGACTCTTGATTCCAATAATTACAGGCTGATGTTGTTCCTTGTGATTAAGCCCCTATCCCAGTGATCGGCAAACTCATTAGTCAACAGAGTAGCAAACCTCGACTTGTGATGCCTCATGTGGCTTGAGAGCCGCAGTTTGCCTACCATTGTACTAGGCAATCATGCTGGTGACTAAGACGAATGAAGTGGGCAGGCCACGTGACCTGGAGAGTACACACCTCCTGTCCTGGAAGCAGTCTAGACTCCATGCCAGCCTGTCCCTTGAAAGGCCTCAATATTGTGAGGTTGCCTGCATTTTCCAATGGGATTTGCTTTTTTAAATGTGAATGTGAACTATCCCAGTTTGCAAAAGCTCCTCCTGTCTCTTGCCTAACAGTAAAGTCACTCCAATGCTCAAATCCGGTGACTCCCTCTAGCCTTGACTGGGAGCTCAAGTTCTTTACTTCGGTGTTTTGGATCCACTGCGCATGTACTGCTGAGCCTCACGCAGTTCCTTGGAGGAGCGCTCAGTCTTATAGGGAGACCTGGTAAATGGGCCTTCACTAAGAGGGCCGAACTCTCTGTGGGCCCGCCCCTTGCACTCTACACAATAAGGTGTGTTCCTGGGCTCCTTTGAGGAAAGGAACTGGTGTTTGGAGCTTAAGGTTTGTTGATTGAATGAATGAATGAATGAAATAGAAGTTCTTTATAGTTCACCTCTATTGGGGTTTTCCAGGCTTCACATAGGCTAAAATAAACCTGGCCAGTTAAAAATCCAACTCACCACAGTTCACTACAGATTTTTCTGTTGTTGTTGTTGTTGTTTGTTTTTACACTCAAACCCAGAAAGGAAAACATTTTTAAGACAAAAACGAAAGACCAATCATCACACGTGCTACTTTGAGTCTGACTACTTTGAGAGTTAAACATGGTCCCATCCACTGTCATCACACCTGTAATTTTCAGCTTCTGGAAGGAGAATTGACACACTTCATGATAACTCTAAAGGCAAGCCATTTGAACAAGGAATGACAAAATCCCTTATGAAATGGAAAGTAAAAGTAAAAAATACTCTTTAAAAGGTCTGCCAGTCCATTTTCTTTCTCAACTTCCAGAATTCCCTTCTCTTGAATGTCGAAATTTGACGGTCATGTACTATATTACAGCACTTGTGGTTTTTTAAAATGTGTTTTTATTTCAGGGAGAAAGAGAGAAAGAAGGAAAGAGATAGAAACATCATCCATGAGAATCATGGATCAACTGCCTCCTGCACGCCCCCTAGTGAGGATTGAGCCTGAGACCCAGGCATGTGCCCTTGATGGGAATCGAACCCAGGACCTTTCCGTCCACAGGCTAACGCGCTATCCACGGAGCAAAACCGGCCAGGGCATAGCACTTCAAACTAATGAATGGGAGGGTCGATCTAAGGTTAGGTTGGATTTGGTTGTATCTTGTTATAGTGACATTTTTTCTCAAAAAAAAAAAAGAAAAAAATTACCCATAACATGTTTAATAATAGTATATTCAAAGGAAATCCTTGAGAGATTTTTCAAAAGTTGCAACATTTGCCAACATGAGTTTTTCTGCATTCTGAAATACCAAAATTAATATGACTTCCTGGCCTGGCTCCTGCCCAGAGCAGCTCTAAATGGCACGCAGTCTGCAGAGGCTTGTTATAATTTCCTGATCTCTCGCTCACTCAGTACTTCTGTGAAGGGAAGGAAAATGGTTTACACTCAGGGGTTTTAGTTGTAAAGGAGGGGGAAGGTAGGAACATGTGCTGAGTAAGCCCAGGCCGCCCGAGGGCACTATCCTTACAGCTTTTCAAAAGGGAAAGTGGTGCTTAAAAGAAGTCATTCCCAATAATTCCCCTAGACTCATAGTCAGCAAACTGCGGCTCCCAAGCCACATGCAGCTCTTTGGCCCTTTGAGTGTGGCTCTTCCACAAAATACCACGACCTGGGCGAATCTATGGTGAAGAAGTGGCATTAGAAAAGGTTTTAGTTTAAAATTTTTGGCTCTCCAAAGAAATTCCAATCGTTGTCCTGTTACTATTTGGCTCTGTGGACTAATGAGTTTACCGACCACTGGCCTAGACCCTTGTCATTCAGATGAACTCTGAACTGAGACTGCACTTCATTTTCTCATTAGGTTTTATTACTGCCCGCAAAGCTTCCAGGAGCGAAGTACTTCCCTTCTCAAGGGTACACCAGACTCCCATAATGTCTGTGCCACCAAAAGAATGAAATGGTTTTAATCCAGCTTTAGGGATTAGAAAGAAAAGTGAGAAACTTGGTGGTGGGGGGGGGGGGGGTTTGACACTAGGACCTCTCATGTCTATGCTAACCAAAGTGTGGTTTTTCTGGTCCTTTTTCTTCCCTGGGGTCTTTGGGGGTGGGGGTGGGGGTGCAGGGAGGCGGAAACCAGGATTAAAAAGTGGAAATGCCCCATGGCTTGAAATTCCACTTACAATAATTTAAAGACTTCTCTTTAAATTCCCTGGAAGTACAGGTCACTTCCTTGAGAAATGTGGATAGATTAGCCTTAAACCCCTGGCCCGGGGAAGGCTTTGGTACAGTAAATAAGCGCTTTAAAATGAAGTCACCGTATTGAGGAATGGCATCTGCTCCACACGCTTGGACCAGAAATGCCAACGTAACATCCAGTGGTTGTGTTTGAACACGGAAGGTTGAAAGGTATTTTGTTTTCTACCCTTACAACATGCCATCCACTTAGAGTTACTTAGTATTTACCCTGCATCAGGCAGAAGACTGGTTCTTGTCCTCCAAGAACTTACCCTTCGTATGAGGAGCCAAATGGTAACGGGGTTTTTCAAAAAAAGGAGCCGATGAAGGCAGTGTGATGAAGTGGTGAACAACGAGTCACAGATGCTAAATGGCCCGGGATGTTAGAGGAAGAGGAAGATTGTACTTATTGTCAATAAATTCTCCAGATGAAGCCACATTTAAAAGTGGTTATACTTGCTGCTAATTTGTCCCTTGAAAGCATTTGCATGATTCACCATGGCTTCGCAGCCAGCAGCTGTTCGGAAGGGACGAGGAAGCAGGCAGGGGACCGGCCTTCAGACTCTCCCCCTGAACTTACCAATGAAGGAACAAGACATCCCTTCTCCTTGGTGACAGACAGAATGTGAGCAGCTTTTTCGAGGCGAATATGCAACTTAATGAGCAGGAATGCAGGCCCTTGGCTGTTAGTTTTCTTTTTTTGTTGTTTTTTTTAATATATTTTATTGATTTTTTACAGAGAGGAGGAGAGATGATAGAGAGCTAGAAACGTCGATGAGAGAGAAACATCGACCAGCTGCCTCTTGCACACCCCCTACCGGGGATGTGCCCGCAACCAATGTACATGCCCTTAACCAGAATCGAACCCGGGACCTTTCAGTCCGCAGACCTACGCTCTACCACTGAGCCAAACCGGTTTCGGCGGCTGTTAGTTTTTGATGTGGGTTTTTGCTCCTATTAAAACTTTTTTCTTCCTGTTAAACAACGTCTAAGCTTTGGAGATGAGCCAGTCTTAAAGTCTATTTCCACAACCGATTTTCCTTCTTAAGAAAAGTGCACTAAACGTGCCAGCTATATAGTCTCCAGGCAACGAGACATTTCTCCTTCCTAAAAATGATGGGGCGGAGGGGGACAAGTAGCATCCTTCAAAGTGGAGGCCTCTGTCTGCCCAGCCGCTTACCTTTCGAAATCACACAGCTTCCAGTGTCTACTTACACCCTGGGCCATAAAAATTATTTTTTTTAATCTGTTTTATTGATTTTTTTACAGAGAGGAAGAGAGAGGGATGGAGAGCTAGAAACATCTATGAGAAACATCCATCAGCTGCTTCCTGCACACCCCCTACTGGGGATGTGCCCGCAACCAACGTACATGCCCTTGACTGGAATCGAACCTGAGACCCTTGAGTCCGCAGGCCAACGCTCTACCCACTGAGCCAAACCGGTCTCGGCCATAAAAATAATTTTTACTTTACAGTTGAGCAAATAACCTGGACTCCCTTGTGTCACCATTGGAATCTTTGCAAGGCAGGCACTTTGAGCTGCTTTAGAGCTGTTACAATAGAGTTGAGCCTGCTTAAATAGGGGCATGTCTCGGCTTGCGTTTTGAGTACCTTTAGGCAAGTTTGGAGAACTGTAGTAAGCAAGCATCCCCCCCCACCCCCACCCACCTCCACGCCCACCCTCGCTCCCACCACCACCCCCGCTAGATTGCGCTCAGGGTCTCTTCCCAAGAAGTGCCAGTGACGTCCCCGATTCCAAAGAGAGGGACTCTTTCCTAACCGTGGCACAAGCAGGCCAAAGAGCACGCTCTCTGGTGTCTCCGGGGGGAGGGAGCCCGCGGGGATGAGGCGCGATCGCTCCTGGAGCCTCGGAGAGGGCCGCCCGCTAGCGCTCCGGCCAGCCCTCCGGCACGGCGTCCGCCCGCCTTTCCAATCAGAGGGGCCCCACAGCGCCGGAGCGCGGGCCCCGGGGCCACCCCACGCCAGCCAGCCTGCTCCCGGGGGGCCCGATGCATCCAGCCCCAGCCCCAGCCCCGGGCCCCGGGCCGCCGCTCCTCGGGGAGCCCCGCGCCCGCCCCGCCCCGCGCACGCCCCGCCCCGGCCCTTAAGCTGCCGGCGCGCCGCCCGCGCTCAGAGCACATGCCCGCCGGCCGCCGCGCCTCCGCCGCTCCCGCTGGGCTTCCCGGCTCCGCCTGGCGCCCTCCCGCTGGCTCCGGGTCCGCGGAGGTAAGTGGACCGTCCGCTCGGCCCCGCGGCCGCCCCGATGCCTGGGTCCCCCGCGGAGGGCGGCGCTGGCCGTGCTGGCCGGGCCGGTCCGCGCGGGGCCCCGCGTGTCACCGGCGCGCGCGGTGCCTCCGGGCGCGGGGACCCGGTGCGGACCGGAGCCGGTCCCTGGGGCCGGGGGTCGGGCGGGGGCTGGGGATCTGAGCAGGGATCGCGGCCCCTGGCTGGCGGCGGAGGCGATCGGGCATCGGGAGTCAGAAAGTCCGGTCTCCGGCGTCCCCCCTTCATCCCTCTCCCCGCGCGCCCGCCCGCCGGGAGGTGCTTCCACCGCGTGCGGGTCTTACCAGCGCTGACGCCACTGGGATTGTAGTTAAAAGTCAACGCGGTGAAGCAAGTCGTCTTTTTTTTTTCTTTCCTTTCCACACTCGGGTTTGCCAGCAGCGCCCGAGGGTTTGCCAGTGACCTCCGGGCGGGCGCGCACGCAGGCGGCCGGCGCTGCCAGACACACGTCCGCGGGCTCGGCTGGCTGGCTGGTGTGTGTTTTGTTTTTTTTTCTTTCTTGGCTCGATCCGTGGTCAAGATTAGGGATTAGAAATCTTGTCAAGCAGCAGGAGGTGTCCCTTGATTTTTTTTTTTTTCTTCCAAAAAACCATGTCCACCTTCTGCAAAGAGTTACTACTTCGACTTTGGTTGGTAACCCGGAACGCTCGAGAGAAACTGGAAACCGCACGCCGTCCTGGTTGGAATGGAAGTTGGACTCCCCTCCTCTGCTCTAGAAAGGCTCACATTTAAAATCCTCGGAAGCCGGATGGTTTCCTCGGAAGACCTCGGTGTGTTTGCCGCGAAGACAAAGACGGCTTGGCACTGGCCCTTGTGACAGACGTGGGAATCGGTGACGGCTTCAGGTGGTGGATGGATACGCCCAGAGCACTTTTCTTATTTCACAGAAAGGAAAAAAATTCAGAAGTGGCCTTGTGAAACAGTCCGATGTGGCTGCCAAGTCCTGTGGCCACTTGTGTTCTTTGCACGGCCCTGTGTCCTAATTGATAGGATGATGGTTTTTGTTAAGGGAAGAAAAGAGCCGCTTCGTTTTGTATAACAGGGAGCTCCAACGGTGAAATCTCAATACCTCAGTTCCCTTCAATACCTCAGTTCCCTCGGTGGACCTGGCTATGCCTTCGCCATGCTTACAACACGAGCCAGCCAGGAATTGAGTGTTCCCTGTGCATTCAGTTCCACTGGACGTTTATTGAGGGCGAACACTGGGCACAGCGCTCAGCCAGGTTCTGGGAAATGGGGTGGGGGTAGGAGTGTTCGGCCTTCCCAGCTCTGATCAACCCTTTTGTAGCCTCCTGGGAGGGGGAAGACGGATTCCTTAAAAGCAGAACCCAGGCTTCTGCTCACATATTCTGAATGCACATTTCCCGCGCACGTGGCCCAGCGGATATGCACAGCCAGGATATGCACGGCCGAGGGGCATTGTGCCTCCATTGCGATTCCTACTGAGATTATGCGGGTTAACCCCCACCTCTCCCCCCCCCCCCCCCCGCATTTCTCCTGGAGATGTAACTCTTGTCTCTTTCTCTCGCTCTAGGTGTGTTCTCAAGTGCCAAAGAGGCCTGGCTTTCTGGGGGTGATTCCGAGGCATTGGGGTGCAGAGAGGAGACCCTCCTGGGAAGTGAAGGATGACCAAGAGCAACGGGGAGGAGCCCCGGGCAGGCGGCCGGATGCGGAGGTTCCAGCAGGGCGTCCGCAAGCGCACGCTCCTGGCCAAGAAGAAGGTGCAGAGCATCACCAAGGAGGACGTGAAGAGTTACCTTTTCCGAAATGCGTTCGTGCTGCTCACCGTCACCGCGGTCGTTGTGGGTAAGTCGCTGGATAACAACCCAAAAGACTTGTTCCTTATGCGGCCCGGGGACACTGTCAGATGGACTGATGGTGGGTATCGGCATGCTAGCCCAGGCTCCCCTCTGGCTTTGAAGATTCTCCCCTTCCCGCCCCCTCCCCCAAGCAAATGACAGGCCCCCAGGCATGTTTGGAGCAATAAACGCATGAGAATCTGAAAGAAGCGTCATTAGGCATTCTAAAAATCAATTGATTGATTGTTGATTGATTGAGTGGAAAGGGAAGTAAATCAAATGTTTTCCCAACTCATAGAAGGACAAAAGAGGAATCATTTAATCATCAGGCCTGAGCAGTTGAATAACAAGTTAAAAAAAAAAAAAAAAAAAAAGGCAAGCATGCTAGATTGGGCCAAAGTGCGATCATCATACAAGGTCACATTCACTTAAAACTGATTTATACAATTAGCACACCTAAAAGGAGATTCGCGTCTCTCCAGAGTAATTATACTCTAGCTGGTGCTGATCTGAGTAGCCACCTTTTGGAGGAAAGGCCGAATCTTTGAATGTGTTTGCACTCTCTCATAAAGTGACCGGGAAGGCCAATGGGGGGGAATGTTGACACAGATCTCTTTCTTTCACTGCCCTGAAGCGCCGGCCACAAACAGCCATACCTTTTTGGACCTTCTCAGCCTCTTACAGATTTAGGATGGTTGATAGTAATCTGTATAAATAAAACATTATCGTCTTGTTTGATGTATTGGCATCTGAAATGGTAGTTTGTTACTTATGGGTAGCATTGATCCTACTTTAGAATACAGCTGAAAAACTGCTTACCTACTGGAAACTTTTAACTGACCCCGGACAGAAATCCTTTGGCTAAGAAACATGGAAGTCCATGCCATGCTGTAAAAAAAAATTTTTTTTTAAATGCTTTAACTTAAATTTCTAATAATCTGTCACCATAAAATGGGCATTTTTTACAATTTCAATCTCTACCTTTGGTGTTTGCCAAGATCTCCCATCAAATATAAAGAGATAATGACAATAAACACTAAGAAAATTGTGTAGCGTGTAAATACAATGATAACTTCCCTCTCCCCTCCCAAAATCGGATTTTTCAGTTGCAGAGAAGTAGGAACACAGCGGTAGTTTGTCACAAGACCGTAGCCATATTCCATTCCAACATCTTTGGCTCCTGTTAGTAATAGTTGGTGATTAATGACTTCAGTTCATTGTAGAGATATTCGAAGACTGTCCAGATTGAGGTAGGGAGGCGATGGCTTTCTTTAGCAGGCGCCCAGCTTCGACTGTGTTCCTGGAAGCAGCGTTCCAGCGCTGTCACTGCCTTGGATGCTGATGTGAAATGCTGCGCGCGCACCTCGTTTTTTTGCTTTGACTTACGGTCGTTGTCAAGACAAGCGATAGCTGCAGACTAAGAGCGACCTGCTATAAATAGTCCCATTCCGCCTACTTTCGAGGGGTTTTGTGTATATATACTTGTTCCTCCCACAAGCTTCTGAAGTAAGTGGGTAGGGATGAGACTGTGATATTTATTTTATAGATGAGGAGACTGAACAAAGGGCAACTTGACCCAAGACAGGCTAGGGCCGAATCTTGAAATGTGTTTGCACTCTCTCATAAATGCCAGTGAATGCTAGAGCTGGAGGTCAGACTGAGACATTCTCCTAACGGAGGCCATTCTCACTCCGTTCTGCCAGCCCACCTTTCTCCTCTGCTGACCTTTTGACATCTCGTTAGAGATGCCAGGCGGGGGAATGTGGCTGTCTTGATGGAGGCCACGCAAGCAGTGCCGATGTATTCCTACAGCACTGTCATTTTTCTATAGGATTTACCCATGCAGATCCGCAGAAAGCTTCTAAATCTCGTACAACCACATCCCTCTCATTCATTTAACAAACACCCGCTTACTTTGCAATCCTATACGCATAATAACAGAGCTCGGCCAGTGCGGGAGTATGTTTGGGAAAGATGCAGAAACGCTTGTTCACAATGGGATTCTAAACACCAGAGGGGTTCAGTTTCTAGGACAAATGTTTCGGCGAAAGAATAGGGGAATGGGAAGGAATAAAACCTGAGCCTAGAAAGCAGGCCGACGGAGGAGTAAGTTCATGATGACAAACATAATGTATCTTATTAAAGAAGATAATGTCAGAATTAAAGAATCCCATTTTCTCTGTGAGCCCGGGGAGGACTTTCCTGAGATTGGTGAGCACCGCAGTCAGTGGGCTGAGCTGGCCGCGGTGACTTGGCAGGATGCCCTGGTGGTTGGCTTTTCCAGTGGAAACTGAGGAGGCAGACGTAACCAGAAGACGGCCCTCACAAAGGAACGCATAAAAGGAGCTCATTGACAGTCAGAGCGGCATGGAGCCTACACCAAAGACTTGGAGTCACCAATGGACAGCCTAGTAGCGGACAGAGCTAGGAGAGGAGGAAGAGCCCGTCAGTGATCTCTGGGTGAATCGCCCATGGGGGCCCCCGGACACAGGCTCCATTTAGCTTGACCCTGAGTACCATGTCTGAGCGGCCCTAAAAGAAACCACAGGGGAAGGACATGGCCAAACAGCAACTCTTAAAGGCATATTGGAACAATGAAAATAAAATAAAGTTTAAAATAAAACGTAAGTACAGACAGTCCTCAGGTTATGTTGGACTCGATGTATGTCATTTCATGGTTACATCACCATCTCCCATTTATGTAGTAAAAAAAAAAAAAAAAGTTCTGTCATTTCGAGTTGAGAGAAAAGGAAAACATGTGTATGTACATATGCACTGTATGGTTTTTTATTATTTATTTACCACAAGTAAAGGTCAGGAATTATTCTCTTTTAACTTTTAACTTTTTTTTACTGTGTCACGTCATTACTGCTGTGTCTGTGCTCCATGTGAGTGACATAGGTGCTTATGGAGGTGGGTCCTGACTTCCGGCGGAAATGTCATAGGAACAGATCTCTCCCTGTAGATATCAACTCTCTAATTTATTTGCTGTCCTATAGGGACAAACTGGAAAGAGACTAGCAAGGAAGAAGAAAATGGTTGCTTTTCCCAAAGATTGTGGGATCCCTTAACACAACCCGCGTGGTTCAGGATTCCTCTTCAGAGTCCGGTTTCTGGAGAAGGCCGCACACAAATGAATAGACTGGAAAAAAGTTAACTTGGGAAAATGAGGGCTAGGCGGGAGTCCACCTCTAGAGGGAGGACTACCCGGTGCTCTGGCCTTTTGCCATCCCTTTTGTTGAGGTTCTGAGATAAAGACATCCTTTAGGCAGTAAATTCCAACAACAGAAAATCAATAAGAATTTACATATGATTAACAAATTAAAGTTGCCTCAACTACCACTATCTCAACTAAACAATGAATTAATAGCTCCAGCCATTCAGAGCCATCAAGGTTGGCCAGCTCCCTTTACATTTTACTACCAGTGACAACAGTTCGGTTTCCAGCAAAAGATGAGATGAGAAGAACTAGAGCTGTTACTTAGTTTTCAAATTCTTATGTTTTAATCACTTCAACATAAAAAAGAAGAAACCCTATATATTGAGGTAATTTTTTGTTGTTGTCCAGTCTGTCTTTTAGAAATAAAGTAAATGTACCTTTAGCATGTAGAAATGGAAACTAAGACATATTATGGAGGAGTAGAGACCTGGGGCTTTTTTATTCAGAATGAAGCAGAGAGTTGGAAATATTTCCCAACAATTCCTCTGCAAGCGCAGGCATAGGACCACTGGTGTGACGTCTTTCTAAGCAGTGACGTTTCTGACGTCATTTCTAAGTGATGTCCAGGTCTGAGTGGGCATCCATGCCATGTAACTCAGCCCATGCGATAGGAGCAGGATAGCAACTGAAAGAAGGCAGCGCCAAGTGCTAAGTCCCTGTAAACGTTCGTTACTAAAGTGTTAGACAGATGCCTTCCAGGGCTGTTGCAAACCTCTGTCTGACAAAACCAGGCTGAGAAGAGTGGTTTCTGTCTTTCTCCCTCCACGAAGTACTTCTCTTGCTTCAATTATAGTAAGTTAGAGTAACCTCAGACATCTCGCTCAAAGACGTGGGAAGTCCTGTGTTGTGTTCATGTCACAGAATGCCTACTCTTTACATGTCCAGGGAACAGACAGCACAATAAAAATGAAATCTCAGGCCAAAGCAATGGATCATAAGCTCAGCTGGGAGGGGAGGGAATCTGTAAATAGAATTGCGTAGAATCGGATGTTGGTTTTACAACTAGCGCCTTCCTTTGTTGTTGGTGCGCACTTGCGTGTGTGCCTGTCCATACACACAAGCACACACACACACACACACACAGAATTTATGTTTGGGTTATCTTTTTGTGAGTTTGAGAGAAACTGGTGTGTTTTCAGAAAAGAAAACATACTGCTTACATGTTCATAAAGCATCTTTGGCAGTAAAGTTAAATTGCACTAAAATTCAATGCAATTCCCTAATATCTCGGAATAATCCTATATAATAAAAGGATGATATGCAAATCGACCAAACAGCAGAATAACCAGTCGCTATGACATGCACTGACCACCAGGCGGCAAATGCTCAACGCAGGAGCTGCCCCCTGGTGGTCAGTGTGCTCCCACAGGGGGAGTGCCGCTCAGCCAGAAACCAGACTCACTGCTAGCAAGTACAGCAGCGGTGATGGGAGCCTGCCCACAGGAGTGGGCCGAAGCCAGCAGGCAGACATCCCCTGAGGAGTCTTAGACTGTGAGAGGGTGCAGGCCAGGCTGACGGCCTCTTTCCCCTCTCCCCCAGTGCATGAACGTTGTGCACTGGGCCTCTAGTTTTTTTATAAGAAACTATTCACCATGGCTATCTCTTGAGATAGAATCTGGGTGTCTGAGGAATGCAATGGAAGAAATAGTACTTTCCTCTAAACTTCTTGAAAGTTTGACTATGTTAACCACATTCATATATTATCTCCTAGTACTGTTCTCTGCTAAATAAATAGTTTCTTTTTTTATAAAAAGATTATGCTATTCAGCAAATATCTGGCCCTGTGC